CTAGCACGTGTGAGGCCTTAGGTGCAATCCTTGGAGTGGATTCTTGGCATTCTTGGTTGCCAACTTGACTACATCTGGAATTAACTAAAATCCCCAAGTGGAGGGCATACTTGTGAAAGATTTTTGCTTAATTTAAAGTAGGAAAGCTGCACTTCTAAACCAGATCTTTGAGGTAGGAAGACAAGCCTTTAATCCAGATCTTTTGAGCTGGGAAAAGAAAAGCTTTAATTTGGATTTTCAGTCTGAAAGACTCACCTTTAACATTTTAGCTGGGAAAAAAAAACCCTCTAATCTGGGCCACATCTTCTGCTGGAAGCCTATATTGAGGATACGGAAGAAAGCACTAGCTTTTTGTCTGCTTGCTTTCACCTTCCTACCAAGTCTGTTACTTCGCTGGCATTAGACTCTACTTCTTCTGGATTCCAGAATATACTGGAAAACAGCTGAGACATCCAGCCTCATGGACTGGGCAACTACTGGATTCCTGGACCTTCCTTTCATAGGCAGCCTTTGTTGGATTAGCTGTACCACATCCTGTACGTTATTAATAAATCATATATACGCATATATATGGAGAGAGATATTCACTCTATAATTACTATTATTCTAGGGAACCCTGATGAATACGCAGAACCATGAGAAAGCAATTTTTGTGCCAACTCTTCACAAGCCAAAAGTTAAAACTGTTAGGAAAACCAGTGCGATACTTATTTTTAAGTGAAGTCCTGACCTCTAGTGGATAAACAGAATTAATAACCAAATCTACTAAATAATTTTAATGTCACAATGTAAGTTTGCTAATGAGAAGCAACCAGTAAAATGAAATAGCTGTGAAACCAATGGAACCTGTTGATTTTAAAAATATATCATCTTTGAGGCAAGGTATCATTAACGGCAAATCCCTGAAATGTCAGCATCTTGGGAGTTGGAGGCAAGAGGATCAGGAGTACAAGGGCATCTTCTGCTACATGGCAAGTTGGAAGACACCCTGGGAGAGAGCTTGTCTAGAAAGTAACAATGAAAAAGTAAGGTAATGACAGAAAAAGCTTCATCAGGTAAAAAGTCAGTGTATAAAAGGAGTGACTGTGGAAGCCTCAGTCAGGAATCACAGATAGACCAGACTGTAAAGGGCCTTAAACCAGACCTCAGTAGGCACCCACACCCCAACACAACTGACTCCATGATGGAAGTACTATTCAGGCCATAAACTCAGCACACAGTCAGCCCCAGATGCCGAAGTTCCGAGAAAGTCTCTAAAAGTACTAACCTTGCTTTTTGGCATCTGTAGTTCTGCTGCATTCTTGCTAACTGAAGTGTGTCAACCCAGGATACACGTTTTATGCTTAGAAACTTATTTTGAGAAAGGTTGGGAGTATAGTGGGATCCTGAACACCCAATATAGTGTCTGGCCTGCTAATAAAGACTTTCTGTTGGCGTAAACCTGTGTGTTTTCTATGGTGGATACCCCACAACCATATCAAAGATGAAGAGTTTAACTGGGCATGGTAGCACACACCTGTAATCCCAGTACTTGGGATGGGGAGAGCAAAGAAAGGGGAAACAGACAGGAAAGGTCTTATCCATCCATCCTTACTGTTACCACCTTCGTGGCCAGCACACCTGGTGTCCAATGCATGACCTGGACCAGCTTTATCAGGGCTCTAGACAGAGTCCCAGGGGAAGACCAGGGATGAAAAAGAAATAAAGAGATACCAAGGGTTCAAGAGGGTTGCAAGAGCTGATGATGACATAGGCCGCCAAGTTTATTAACTGCACAGCTCTTTTGCACCCCTTAAATGGGGAAGCAGAAACCAAGTTATTACAGAGCTTCAGACAGTAGAATTACAGGGAGCTCAAAACTGTCAAGTTCATCCTTAGCAAGGCACTAAAGTTCTGTGTTGCCTAACAAAGTACTTCACAGGTCAGTGTCTGGAATTTTTAATTACCTTATTTTAGTTACGTTTGTGTTTTGCCTCCATGTATGTCTGTGTGAGGCTGTCAGATCCCCTGGAACTGGAGTTACAGACAGTGGTGAACTGCCATGTGGGCACTGGGATTTGAACCTGGGTTAAGAGCAGACAGTGCTCTTAACCACTGAGCCACCTTTCCAACTGTCAGTGTCTGGACTATTTGACCACATACATATGGAGGGGGTGTCGCTCTGGTGCTAGTCCATAGTCCTTGCCTGGCATGACCCTGGCAAGTGAGGGGAAAGATGCCCACATTCCATCATCAAAGCCTCCAGGCAATCTTCAATCCAGTGTAGGCCCTGACACACACAGGTAGTACTGTACTTATCCTCTCTCAGCTTCACTTCACACCCACACAGAGGACAGCTTGAACTCAGTATTAAGGAGGACAACAGAGAAGCAAGACTTAGGGAACAGGGGAGAAAATGAAACTGAAGAAAACAGCATCGTCCTCCATGAGGCTTCTCCAACCAAGGACGATGTATGGATATAACCAAGAACCCCTACTAGGATGTAGCCCATGGTAGGTCAGTATCCAAGTGGGTTCCCTAGTAAGAGGAACAGGAACTATTTCTGACATGAACTCAATGACTGGCTCCTTTACCTCTCCTCCCCCCACCCTCCCGAAGGAGGAACAGCTTTGCTAGGTCACAGAGGAGGACATGGTAGCCAGTCCTGAAGATACCTGATAAACTAGGGTCAGATGGAAAGGGAGGAGGACCTCCCCTATCAGTGGACTTGGAAAGGGGCAGGGAGGAGATGAGGGAGGGAGGGTGGGGTTGGGAGGCAATAAGGGAGGGGGCTTCAGCCTTCAGCTGGGATACAAAGTAAATAACCTGTGATTAATATAAAAAATAAAAATTAATAAAAAAAAAAACCAGCATCTACCCAAGTTAGAACTGGGAAGCCAAGCCTTCAACTACAAAACTAAGGACACACTAACATAGGGGCACTCAGGACAGCAAGGTCGCCGATGAGTAACTTGCATCACAAGCACCCGCAGGGCCAGAGAGGGTAGGTCTCTGTTAGAACAGCTCTCTGTCTCATACTGTTAGATATTGGTGTTCAAAAACGCAATGTGGGTCTGGGCCTGGTAGTCCACACTTTTAATCCCAGCATACAGGAGTCAGAGGCAGATGGACTTCTGTTTGTTCAAGGCCAGCTTGGTCTCTATAGCAAGTTCCAGGTCAGCTAGAGCTATGGTGATGATGATGATGATGATGATGATGATGATGATGATGATGATGATATCAGGGCCTTTGCAGGAGTCCTGGTTTATCTTTATGGCAGCACTAGTTGAGTGGAGGTGGAGCAAAGGCACACTGGGAACCATAAGCAAAGAGTCATAAGACCACTAACAGTCCTCTCACTTTCCAGAAAGAGCAGGATTATCAAATCCTTACAGAATAAAATCTGCATGTTTGTTGTGATTAACCAACCATTATGATAGTCTACCAATGGCTCCATTTTCAGCTACAGTCATCTGTTGTACTTTACTTCTGCTTCAGAACTAGGCTGTTTGATTTCAGACCAACGCTCACCTAGAGTCATCGGCAAAGACATGCCCTTTCATTGGTTTGAGACAGTGTCTCACTTTGTAACACAGTCCAGCCTGCAAATCACTGTACAACACACAGGGCTTTAGATCTGTGGCTATCCTCCTGACATCCTCCAGAGTGCTGGGATTACAGGCATGAGCCACTCTGCCAGCCATGGCTGCCTTTGAATAAAACTCTTCTACCAAATCTGTGTAGGGAGTTCTAGCTGAGCCAAACATTTGACTCCGGTAGTGCAGACTCAAATACTCGTACACAAGTTTGTAGAAAATAAGCCAAATGCCCACCAACAGATGTTGGATAAAATTATGTATGTCTGTATATACAACAGGATCTTAGCCACAAAGCTAGATTAAGTGTGGGCACATGTTACTGGTTGTAGAGTCCTGAGGCAGAGGCCCAATTCTGGAAGAATTGTAATGGTGAAAAGGAAGGAGCTGAGGCTGTTGCCAAACTGTTTTACAACCCACTTAATATTTACAGGCCCAAGTAACTGTGGCTTTTAGTAAACACTACTTCGAATTTTTTGAAGTTACATTTATTTGTGTGTGTGCGTGTGTGTGTGTGTAGGTCAAAGACAACTTGCAAGGGTCTGTTTTCTCTTAACACTGTGTGGTTTCCAGGATCAAACTCAAGGTCAGATAGTAAGCAGTATAACCCTTAGTGGCCATCTCACAGGCCCACAAAACAGCTTCTAATTCCTTGTTACCCTATAAGGTGAAGTCATGAAAATGTCCTGAAACTAAATGTGGTGGCATACTGAAATACTTTATAAAGTGCCTACGAACGGTACATTTTACCACCAAATGCTTCACTGCATTCCGATGGTGGTTACAATACAAGTGAACTGGTGTTGGGAGACGGACGTATTTGCTGAAAAAAGGCGCTTGCCGCCAACCATGAACCATCTTTTGAACCCCCGATGGTGAACGACAGAACCAACACACACACACACACACACACACACACACACACACACGCCCCAAATTACCACAGCAAGCTCTAAGCACTGAACTTCGGTAAAGATGTCTCACAAAGTTTAGAAGTTCAACCGTTTCCAAACCCCCTACACTCTCCCAAGCCACGCAAACCAGCCTGAGAACTAGCTCCTGCCTCCTGCCCACACCCTAAGCTTCACTAAAGCCCAGGAAAGGTGCTGGCTCTCCGCTGCGGTACCTACTCCTTCCGAAACTTCCGGCCGCCGCCCCACCTCCAGCTCCGCCCATGGTCCCGCCCACCCACCAATCAGAAGAGCGGCCGCCGGAACTCCCTGTTGGAGACGTGTAGGTGAGGGCTGTGTCGGGCCGGGCATCTCTCCAAGACCCGCCCTTTCCACTAGCAACTCGCCAATCGAAAGCGGCGCCGCCGGAAGTGGCCGTTGGAGGTGTGGGTGGGCGTTCCTGCGGGCGGTAGGTGAGTTTTGAGGCTGGAGGCGGTGGGCGATTTAAGTGGGTGGGCGGGCCAGCTGGTGGGCGTAGGGCAGGTGTCGGGGGGGCGGCCGGGATCGGAGGTGGCCGGGCGCAGGCCGACCTGAGTCTCTGAGAGCAGCGGGCGTGGGGCCCGGCGGCGGCCATTCTGCGTGAACACCCCTCACGGGGGTCCGGCGGCCCCGTCCGCCTGCGCTTTAGGAATAAATACCTCGTCCTCTGGGCTCCGCCACAGGTATTCACGGAAACTCTCGGCGGGTGTGGTGGAACACCTCCTCCGGGCGGGGTCCTGGCTGACTGTCCCCTAAAGGCTGGTTGCTTCTCTGTGGAGTCGGCGCTCCGAAGGTAAAGCCTGAGTTAAAAAAAAAAAAAAAAAGTCTGCAGTTGAGACCCAAGTTCACCAGGGAAATCACTGGAGCCGGTGTCTACCCTGGAAGCCATCTTTTATCGCCATCAGAATCCCTAGTGAGAACTCCAAGAGCAAAAGCGATGAGCACAGACTCAGGCTAGACTGAGGACAGGGCACTACTACGGTTGTTACAAACTTAACATCAAAATTAAGGAAAAAATTGTGTGAGTATTCTCAAGTCAGTTCGTAATGCTCTACCTAAGAAAAGAAAAGAAACCACGGGTGCAGCTGTGAAGGGGCTAAAGGCTGGAATGATGGAACCTCAGGTTACAGATTGAGAAGGAACAGAACGCCTGCATGGGTCTGTGATATTGGGAGGGTCGCTTGCATTGAGTTCTCTGTAGAGACGTGGACTATAATAGTTTTCACATGGGTTTTCTATTATCGTATATTAAATATACAAGCAGAATGTAAGAGAGAACACGAAGTTATTTATTCGTTCTTCTGGAAATACGTTTGTAAGTACATGGTAGTGTTTCTTACTTAGATTTAGTGGTCAAAAAAATTTCACCTAAATTCAGCTTATTCTCCCTCTAGCAATTCAAACACAGGAGTAATGTCATTCTTTATACACACACACACACACACACACACACACACACACACACACACACATTTAGGCTTTTAAAAATTAACACTCCCAGATAATATTTCTTTAACCTGTACTGTCTTAAACTTTGGGCCCCTTCCGCCTGAAAGTTTTTTTGTAGGAAATCTTGTTTTCTGTCACCAGAATTTGTACTTTAACTGAACTGTGTAATTTATTTTGCAGCAAGTGCAAATCGATAGGTGAAGAATTGTAGTAAAACAGCTTTTATCGTCTTCAGAGCACAGTGTATTATCTCTGGTAGGCAGGAAGGGTTAGAACTGTGGGTGTTCACTGTCGCTTCTAATTTCTGGACCCCTACCTCATTCTAGACTTTGACCAGAATCCAGAGAATGGGCCATAGGCATCCACCTTAAAGCTGGGTAGGTTACTTGGTTTTTAAGTCAGGATGAGAATCCTTACATTAAAGGCAAGGTTTTTCAGGAGTGTTTCTCCTTTTCTTAAGGAAAGGAGTTAGAGTCATCAGGGAAATATAACCTGGAACATTTGGGGAAATAGAGGTTTTTTGGTTTTGCCCTCATGTGGTTAAAAACTGACTTTTAAAGTGGCCCACATAGCTGTCAAAGCCAGTGGGCAGGTCGTAGAATTTGCAAGAAAAGAGAGTCCTGCTGTGATGTTAGAAAAGAGGTTTTAGAAGTTTTCTAGTGTGTTACTTTTGGGTGGTGGGAGGTAGTCATTTGAATTCTCACACTGTTCTGCCCTTCTCAGTGAGAGCTGCTTTTCATTAGTGTGTAGGTGGGTTAAATTCATTTTCTTGTAGAAGTGTTTTTTAAATATGTGTTAGATTCTGATGACGACAATCTTTCTTTTCGCAGCCTATGATAAGTTTGTATTTGTTTTTTTGTTTTTTTTTTTTCTGCAGTGTATAAGAAGACATGGTTTCCACCTCACTGCCATAAGCACATCTAAGTTTAAGTCCTTTTTGGATTTGTATCTTACACCACAATGGTAAGCTGTGACATAGCATGCTTAAATTTGTATTCTATAGTGTTCTCTGCTTTAGCACCATAAAAATAATAGTGTATAGAAACACTCAATTAGTAGTTATGTCAAAATTTTCTCTATAAAATGTCTGGCTGGTTGGTGTCTTATTAATTCAGTGGTAGGATTATCACGTCTAAATTGCACAAGTGTTAAAAGTTATTTCTGCGCTTGGGGAGGATGAGTAGGCCTGTAATCCCAGAGCTCCGGGAGGCAGAGGCAGGAGGATCTCTGTGAGGTCAAGGCCAGCCTGGTCTACAAAGTGAGTCCAGGCCAGTCAGGGATACACAGAGAAACTCTGTCTTGAAAAGCCAAAAAAAAAAAAAGTTACTCTGCTTTGCCATTTTTCTGAATCTTTGGCCAGGAGGTTGTTATAAATGCAGAATATTTGGGGGGAGGGTTGGGTTTCTCATGTTTTCAGTTTCCCCTTCCATCTTGATGTGGGCTCAGGTTCTATACTTGTGGGTGTATATGTTTGGTAAAGAAATACAATGTCAACACTCCTCCTCCAGCCCTGTCTACCTTTTATATTGAGGCAGTACCTTAGGTCTAGAACTGGCTGAGTAGGCCAGGCTGGCCCTGGAGGGCCGCCTCCCTATCACTAGGGTCCCCACTGGGTGCAATCCTGTTTAGCTTTCTTCTGTGGATCCTGAACTTTGAGCTCAATTTTTCATGATTGTGTGGCAGGCAGTCTGACTGAACTATTTTACCAGGCGCCTTCTCTTGCATGCTTTAAAATTAAATGTAGGCAGGTTTGGTCTGTCATACCTGTAATCCCAGGACTAAGGCCTGCCTGGGCTAGAAAGAGAATTCCAGTCAGCATGGCTCCAGAGTGTAGCCCTGTCTCCAACCTACCCCCAAAAATAACTTTGGTGATGTGCAGCACCTTCCTGTTGTGGCGGTCTGCCTGCTTGTTTCTACCTGATTAGAAATGATAGGAATTATCACTGTGGGGTTCTTAGCATTTATGTGTACATAGTAAATGATATACCTAAGTATTTGAAGGAAGTGTTCAATACATGATACAAGCACGTCAGGCTCCTGTACACTGACTGCAGATATCATTTTAACATTTCTTATATACTTATGATCAAGTGCCCACAGTCATTTAAAAAAAAAAGCAAAACTTAGTGATGCATTGAAGGATAGAGGAGTGGAAAAATGCATTGCCCTTGTTCAGAAAATGGAATAAGCACTTAATGAAGCGTGTCAAGCATTAAAAAAACAAAAACAAACAAACAAACAAAAAAAAACCCACTAGTATTGCCAGATAATCTTTTTTGCTTTTTACAGCAGCAAGCTCTAGAACAAGCTTTGGATCGTGCAGAGGTGAGACCTGACTGATTACATGTTAAAATAGTGATGTTTGTAACTGACAGAAATTCCATAATAAGGTATTTTGGTAATCTTTAAGAAAATATAGTATTTTAGGCTAAGCGTGCTAATAATCTTACTGTGCATATGTAAAATTGGATGATGTGTAGGTATTAGTCATGTAAAATTCTTGTTAGGCTATGGAATAAAAATTATTTAAACAAGACCATAGAATTTCTAAAATTGTTTTTCAGTCCTGACAGGTTTCTCTAAAATACCTTAAAATATGGGTCATTGCACTCAGATGTGCAATTTTAAAATAAATTTAGCTATAAAAATAAAACATTTGGAATATATTTGTCCTGTGGAATTGTAATTTATTGTCCTGAATGCTGGGTTGAGTCTTAATGGAATTAAATTTCATTTGGTTATGGGCTGTGTATGTGGTTTAAGTCCAAGTGTGTTAGAGCCTCGCTGACGAAGTGGACTTATCAGCTTGTCCTGCTGTAGGTGCTCAGCAGCCTACAGCTGCTCGTGTAAAAGCTGAATACAAGCTGTTTGACCAACTTCTCTGTTTCAGTATATTGTAGAAAGTGCTCGGCAGAGACCTCCTAAAAGGAAATACCTATCCAGTGGAAGGTATGACTGATTGGTAACATCTTTGAGTCAATGAAATAAGATAACTACCACTTACCGTAACTGACAAATGCTGTCAGTTCTTTGTATGAACAGGGTGAGCATCCCTGATCTGGAAATGTGAGATACTCCACAGTCACAATATGGAACTTAGAAATCTTGATGGAATGACGCAATTGGACGTTTTCACATCTAACTTACATGACAGTTAGAATGCTCGCACAGTAAAATGTAGTGTATAAGTTGCCATCCATCTCTTTCTGTAAATTTATATGACCCTACACTATAGCTTCATATTTCAGAAACTAAAGTCGTCCAAAACACTGTAGATCTCAAGCATTTTAAACAGTCCAGAGATGCTCAGCCTGCATTCTAAATTCTTAATTTGAGCCAGGCAGTGTAACACCTTGTTGAATTGGCATTGTACAGAAATTAATAGGCAAATAAATGATGTAGAAACATTGAAGTTAATGTCTTGTTATGTATACAGGGGTAATGTACTATATTAATTAAAGTCTTACATTTGGGGTTTGGTTACACAATTGAAATATTTAAAATAATGAAAAGCAAACAAAATCATTTTGTGATGAATATTTATTGCTTTTTATCCTAGAAAGTCTATATTCCAAAAGCTTTATGACTTATATGTTGAAGAATGTGAAAAAGAACCTGAGGTTAAGGTAAATATAAATTCTTTATAGTATTGGGTTTTGGAGTTGTGGTAGAATGGGGGAGTTTTTTAGAACATTAATTAGGTTTGAAGTAACTAGTGATTTATAGCTTCATGGTTGATTGTCTTTTTAACCAACTCTAGTCAGTTCTTTGGCTGACCAATTGAGTTCCTTGGCTAATGAGTAGTGGTGAAGAGCACTGTACACCAACTGAGTAATGAAGCATCGTAAATAGCAGTGTCTTCTGTTGATTTCCTTTGGGACCTGGTTTACAGACTTGAGCTAGCATCTCAGTAACCCACTTCTTAAGATTTGGCTGCACATGTGGATAGGATTCAAGTATGCTAGTAAAAAAGTGAATTTGATCAAAGAATAAACTTGTGATCAGTTTAAATCATTTTTACTCAGCATAAAGGTGTCTATAATTATAATCAATAGAAATTGACATTTTTAAGCAAAGTTGCAATTTATTAAGAAAAAGTTTTGTTGCGTGGTTTGTTTGAGATGCAGGTTTTACTATGCTGACATGGAACTCATGGAGAACTCCTGCCTCTAGAGTGATGGGATTGTGTGTATCACCATACACAGCTTTAAGGAAAAAAAAATTAATATGTATTTAAACACGGGTATTGATCAATTCACCCAGAAATTTAACTTCTTGAAATATTTTAAACTCTCAGATTAAAAGTGGTTTTGTTTTGTTGGTTTTTCAAGACAAGATTTCTCTGTGTAGTGTTGGCTATCCTAGACTTGCTTTGTAGACCAGGCTGTCCTTAGACTCATAGGGATCTGCCTGCCTCTGCCTCTCCTGAGTGTTGGTGTTACAGATACACCCCCACTGTGCCTAGCTGGGTAAAAGTGTTTTAAGGGCTTTGTGAGTTTCTGTTTTATCTTTAATTTAAAAATGAATAACATTTAAACATTTAGCTAAAGGAAAAAATTAGCATTCTAGTAATGTCTGATCTTTAAAGTCTGTACCTTAGGGGGAAAAAAACCCTTAAATTTATAAATAAGTATTATAGCATAGTTTCCATATGTTTTCTTCAAGTGTGACCTAACAAATTGCAAGTTTAAAGCATATCGATTTTTTAAATTTTGTATAAAATTTGTATGTATCTATAAACTCCTAACAATTTGCATAATTTCTGTATCCATCATTTGAGAAACTAGAACTAAGATAAGAAATATCATAAAGAATCTAATGGAAATCAGCAAGCTGGCTTGATGTGGATATTGCCTGCCCATTTTTAAGATACAGAGACAAAGCTGAGCAATTGCTGCACCCTGGAGCCTAAGATGCTATCTGGCCACTTAAGAGAGACATTTCTAGCCAATAGTTTTTTTCTTTTTCTTTTCTTTTTCTTTCTTTCTTTCTTTTTTTTTTTTTTTTTTTTTTTTGTTCTTGCTGCTAATTGTTTTTGGGGTTTTTTGCTTGTTTTGTTTTAAAATGCATTAAAGTGGCCCCCCTTCATTTTCATATTGCATAGTGTTTTCATTCTGTTTTGATGTTAGATCAAAAATTTTTGACTTCTGGGGCCAGTAAGGTAGTTCACGTGATAAAGGTACTTGCTGTGAAGCCTGAGAGAGGATTCATTCCCAGGTTCTACATGGTAGAAGGAGAGAGCTGACTTCCACAAATTGTTCTTTGACCTCCGCATGAAGCTTTTGTATGCTCCACCTTATACACAGTTTCAAAGTTAGACACGTAATATAAAGTATTCAAAACAGATTTATGTTTTTAAATACTGAAAAACAAATATATTAACTCATGTCTTTCCTAAGATAGAATAAAATGAGTTTAATCTTTAACTTGGTTTCATACAAAACGTGTACAAAATTGTGGATTTTGATATGTATGCATGTTTCCAGATATATGTTAAAAAGCAATTAAAATGGTTCTTAAGGAACCGTTGCATTGAATTTATGGACACTGTCTAAACTGTATTCTTTTACCAGTTAACTCTTTTAGGTTCAACATTTCAGCTAATTAGAGTTGTTGAGTGTCTTCACATCTTTGTAGATTATAAGTTGTTGAAGAAATTTGACCTTATCACTGTACAATTAAAGAGGTCCCCAACTCTTCATTCATTACCTGCATTAAGGGTTTTTATTACAGAGGTTCCTTTTTTGTTTTCTTTCTGTCTCTCTTTCCCCTTCTATTTTTCTGTCTTCCCTTTGAGACCCCAGCTGGCTATCAAGTATGATGATAATTCTTTTGCCTCAGCCTGCCCCATGCTGGACTTATCAACAATAGCTACACCTTGCTTTTTTTTATTGTTTGTTTAAAACCGTGGTTCTCAATTTTCTAATGCCTCTTCTAAATGCTGAGATTACAGGTGCATATCCATGGATAACCAGTTTATGGGTGAGCTAATTTGTATAAAGCATGCTAGTGGATACAAATTTAGTTGACATTAATGTCTTGGGAATTATGATGGTTCCCAGGTATTTGGGATTATAGTGTGGAAGGGTCACCAATAGATATATACTGTTTTCATGAACTTTGCCTCTTTTTAAAGCAGAAATTAAGAAGAAACGTGAACTTGTTAGAGAAGCTTGTTATGCAAGAGACTTTGTCATGTTTAGTGGTCAACCTATACCCAGGAAATGAGGGTTATTCTCTGATGCTCAGGGGGAAAAACGGATCAGGTAAGACCTTCCAAAGTATGCCTGCCACAAAATACCTCTGCTTTGAAACAGTTAGCTGTTGAGCCTCAATCAGAGGTTGTCCTGATTGAAAGATAAATTGTTTTTTGTTTTGTTTTTTAAGACAGAGCTTCTTTGGTTAGCCCCGGCTATCCTAGAACTCACTCTATAGACCAGACTGGCCCTGAAGTCAGAGATTGGCCTGCCTCTGCCTTCTAAGTGCTGGGATTAAAGGAGTGTGCCACCACTGCCTGGCTTAAAAGACAAATTCTTATTCTATACGTTTTCCCCTCTTGAGTTTGTCTGGAATGTTTGACATGGTTGTGTAGATTATCCTTCCTGAACTTGCATTTGAAAATTGTTGTAGTTGGTTATATCTTTAAAATTTTTAGATTATTTTGTCTTACGTGTATGGATGTTTTGCCTACATATATATCTGTGCACCACGTGCTTGCCTGATACCTTCAGAGTCAGAGGAAGAGGTTGGATACCCTGAGATGGAGTTGCAGATGGTTCTGAGCCACTATGTGGATGCTGGAAATTGAACTTGAGTATTTTTTTAAAAAAGCAGCCTGAACTCTTAACTCCTGAGCCATCTCTCTAGTCCCTATCTTGTATTTTATAATTTGTTTTATTTGGTTGGAAAATGGAGGGAGAACATGGCAGTTGTATAGTGGGTTCTAGTGCTAGAACTCATCTCCAACTGCTTTATCCACTGAACCATCCTGCCAGCCTGATTATGTCTTTATATTTACATTCATTGCCCTTTGAGTAATTTTTATTTTATTGAGACATCAGAAAATAGTAAACATTGAGAATATTTCTGAAAAGATTTCTAGTGTTGTGGTTGTGAAGAGCATTAAAACATATTCTTAGATTTCATTTAAAGAGGCATCTCAGAATTTAATATAATGAGCATTACAAAGTAGATAGTAAAGAATTTTAGTTATGAGGATGAGAATAGAGCTTAATATATAGCTTGATAGACTACTTACCTAACCTGCAGAGAGCTTGGAATTCAGTCTGTAGCACTACATAAACTCGATGTGGTGTCCCTGGCCTGTAATCCTAGCTCTCAGCATAGGGGGAGAAGGAAGCTCAGAAGTGTTTATTTTTCTGTACTTGTCTAAAATGTTATACAGTAAATAAGTTCTTTAGCACTGCAATGTGATTGACTTACAAGACTTAGCTTTTAAGCTGTATTTTAAAGATTTTATTATTTTTAATTATGTATATTTTTAATTATGTGTTTAGATGTGTTTGTGTCGGTATGTACATGTGAGTTCAGGTTCCCAGAGGTGACAGTTCCAGTCAGTTGCTATGTGGTGCTAGGTACAGAATGGCACGTGCTCTTAACCACTGAGCCTTCTCTTTAGCCCTGTGTATTCTGTTTTTTAAAGTCATAAATCCTAGGTTTTTTTCTGAACCTGTTTTCATGAATTTTCTTTTAAAATTAAGATTCTGAGACCATCAGATTGCCTTATGAGGAAGGGGAACTGCTTGAATATTTAGATGCAGAAGAACTACCTCCTATTTTGGTTGATCTCCTTGAAAAATCACAGGTAAAAAAAAAAAAGACAAAATACCTGTTTTAAAAAATAACCTGTGTATCATCACATGTGCTACCCTATCTACTTTGAAGGCTAAAACGGAAACATCTCTCAAAGAGTTTGAGGCCAGCCTGTGCAGCACAGCAGAGCTCCATTTCTAAAACATTGAGAGTATGTGTGTGTTTATTTGTATTTAAGCACAAATAGCTGTGTTGTGGGTTATTAATATTTATTATTGATTTTTCTTTTAGTTAACCAGCAGTTATTCCTAAACCAGCTATATAACCAAATTACCACACAGAGACTAGGATTTATTAACCTAGAACACAATGCTAGGCAATAGTTACTCCATCCTAAACCTCTGAGCCCGCATAGTTTCCTACCATTCAGATTTCACCCATTATACTTGCTTTTAGTCATCTAAGTTCCGGTTCATCCTCCTCATGGTTCCAAGTCCTGTCCTCCCAACCTCTACTCCCCGTGGCTTCCTTCTCCCCTCTGGACCAGGATGTCCCACCCTATTCTCTCTATTGCACAGCACTAGCTGGATGTTTAATTGGCAATATAGAGAACAAACAGTGGCATGTTTACACAAACTTGAGACAGGTGATACTTAGAATAAACATCCCAGTGCAATGTCCAGATTGAAACCAGATACTAGGGTAGAAAAATCAGCATTTGAATGAACAAGGTTACATTTCACAAGAATATTACACCAACATAGCTGTAATGGTGTAAAGTAAACATACTGTGAGGAATGGATTGCAGGTGAGCTATAACAGTGCTAAGGTTTCTTAAGCTTGCAATACAGTGAAGTTGTGAGTTAAATTTATGATTAGCTCCTTATTAATACAGCCAAAATGTTTAGAAATTTTATGAAATAAAAAAATGAGGTTCTATCTAGAGGCTGAAATTCTGGCACAGTTGATTGACAGTATATAACAGTGACAAACTGTATAACCATTATGAAGCTAGTAAAGTAAAATAATGAGCCAGTGAGCTTCAGAAAAACCCAGGGAACTCCTGTAACTTCCTGCATAGATGAATGCCAAAGTCATCCTAATGTCAGTAGATGCAATGTCAGTCTCAGTTTTAACTTGCTTTTTATAATGATGAACGTAAAAATACCTAAGTCATCCTCTTTAGTAGTTTATATAGTGGTATATCCACTAAAGATGTCTATAGACGGTATAGAGTTTAAAGAAACATTCTGCTTAAGTTATATTGGATTGGCTTTTGAAAAGTTAAGTTTACGTGATTTATTTTTTACTTAAAACAGGTTAATATTTTTCACTGTGGATGTGTGATAGCAGAAATCCGTGACTATAGGCAGTCCAGTAATATGAAGTCTCCCGGTTACCAAAGTAGGCATATTCTCTTACGTCCAACTATGCAGGTATGGAATGTTTAATTAGAAAAGTACTGTTTTTTGTTTTAGTTGGATTTTTTTAATGTCCATATATTTGTATGAGTATACCATTTATTTTAATGTTTTGTTTCTTCTAGACTTTAGTCTGTGATGTCCATTCTATAACAAGTGACAACCATAAATGGACCCAGGTTAGTTTTCTCTCTAATCCCACGTGGGCTACACACAGTGTGATGTGTCAGTGAGTAGCTTCCTTTTACTGACATTAGATTGGCGTGTTAGGTTGGACACATGAACAAAACCAAGATTTTCTTATGAGGTTTAGGATTTTAAAATTTCTGTACATTTAAAAATGCCTTAAGGAACTACTTATAATCCAGTCCCATTTGCTTCCAGCCTTGCAGATAAACTAGAGTTAACTGATAAAGCCTAATGTGAAAATTGTTTTTTACCCTCTCAAACAAAAGCTTTATTTTTACTATTGAACACAAATAGATTATGATTTTTCTTTGATCCAGGATTCTGCAATTTTACAGGAAACTTACCTTTTCTCCTTCTTTCCTCCCTCCCTCTCTTCTTTCCTTTTCTATTTCTTTTTGAGGTAAGATCTCTAGCCCAGGCTAGCTTGGAACTTGAGATCCTGCTGCCTTAACCTCCTGATTCTGAGAGTAAAGAGCTGTATCAAACTGATCTCACAGGACTTCTTAGTATTGACAACAGCTAATTGATCCCGTAGTTCTAGCTCTTATTCATTATTACTGTGGAGAAAAAAAATGTCAGCATTGAAATAATCCTCTGTGAAATGTGCTTGTGAACTACAATTCACTTTATCCATAATTAGTAAGTAGTGAAGTATAATCTGGGCTGTTATTTTCCTATTTATAAGAAGTTCAAAAGTTTTTCATGTTAGAGACAAACTTGCAGTCAGCACGGGAGAGCAGAAAAGCGTCGTTTTCTAAAGTTGCACTGGTAAACAAAGGAGAGAATATAACTATTCTTTCTTATCCTACCATTCCTGAATAAACAATATTTTAAGTAGCCAAATAAATATCCATTCTGAATTTGACTATTTTATACAACATGCACTAACTCAGTTTTCATTGGAAGTTTTTTTAATCTTGTCAGGTTTGCACATTACTGTTCAAACTTGAGTTACTACATTTACTTTAGTCTTTAGCAAACTTCCAGGAATATTTCTGGGTTAAATGATGTATATTTATCAGCACTGTATCTGAGGCTAACATATGCTCCAATGTATTTCAGGAAGACAAACTTTTGCTTGAGAGCCAGCTGATTCTAGCTACAGCAGAACCACTGTGTCTTGACCCCTCTGTGGCAGTAGCGTGTACTGCAAATAGGTTGCTCTATAACCGGCAAAAGATGAACACTCGCCCAATGAAACGGTAATCACCAGCACCTGTGTGACACGGGCTCCTAAGATTCCTCTTCCTCAGTATGTTGTGCTGGATTTTTAAATTGAAATTGGATTTTTAATGGCCTGTTGTGGTTTTGTGTGATAGATTTTTTTTTTTAATATTCTCTGCATTATTGTAAAGGGATTTTTTTTTCTTCGTCTTTTAAAGAAGTAATTTATGTAAGGTTATAATTTGTTTACGAAAAAGGTTGTGAGGCTGAGAAAAGACCAGATAGGAACGAAAGGATAGTTCCTTCATTACTTCTCAACACTAATTGGAAATAGTTAAGAAGGAAACAGTGTGTAACTTCGAGTTTTGAGAAAAACAATCACAGTTTTAGAGGTTTTTTTTTTGTTGTTGTTTTATTTGAGACAGGGTTTCTCTGTGTAGCCTTGGCTGTCCTGTACTAATTTTGTAGACCAGACTGACCTTCAACTTAGAGTGATCTACCTGCCTCTGCCTCCCAGAGTGCTGGGACTGCAGGCATGCGCCACTGTGCCTGGCTTAAAGATTAATTTATAATGATTGTCTCTGTATTTCTGGAATTGAATCAGGGTGTCCGCATGGTCATGAGTATTTTGTATTGTTCTTTTTGTTTCATTGATGCCTAAAGCTGCATGTGTGAAAGTATTGTATTTACAAGTATATTGTGTGTGTGTATTTGTGTATGTGCATAAAAATACAGACCATATATATACATATATACACACATACCTGTATATATATGTGTGTGTGTGTGTGTGTATATATATATATATATATATATATATATATATATATATATATAGTAAATATGCCATTTGTGTGTGTAGAATAGTTGTTTATGATTTAATTTATAATGAGTGCATGCTACTATTTTCCATGTACCAGTTGTTGCTTTGTATTCCAATATATTTTAGGTGTTTGAAGAGGTACTCCAGGTCCTCCCTGAACCGGCAGCAGGACCTGTCTCATTGTCCTCCTCCTCCTCAGCTGCGATTACTTGATTTCTTACAAAAACGGAAAGAAAGGAAAGCAGGTCAGCATTATGACCTCAAAATTTCTAAAGCAGGAAATGTAAGTATTGTCCAGGAGCTCACTTATTGACACACTAGCTTTGCCTTACGTTGTCTGTGTAATTTTACTGCTTTTTACTTTACAGTGTGTAGACATGTGGAAACGGAGCCCCTGTAACTTGGCCGTGCCTTCTGAAGTAGATGTAAGTTCATGAAATGCTGCTTTCTAGCACAGGGCCAGAGTCATCTTTAGGAAGGTAATGCTGTGAGAAAATTGAGGAAAGAAAAATAACAACTTCTTTTTTAAGAAAAGTTCTCATTTTTAGAAGCTGTGTGTTTAAGTCATATAAGTTTGTTGTTTTATTTTTTGAGTCTGGGTCTGGCTGTATAGCTGAGGCTGTCCTCAGACTTGTGGTAATCCTCCTTTCTCAGTAATACTCCAGAGATTATGGGAGTGGGCCAGCAGTCCAGCCTCAGTTACACATGGAAAGAGTGTGGCATATTTTACATAGTGACAGGAATGTCCTCATGTCTTTCTGTAGTGTTTCTTCATAATTAGCTCACAATGCTTCTGTACTCAAACTAGTAAAATTTAAAGATTAGTAATATTAGAGCCATGGCCAAAATTAGGAGCTCGCAGCAGTATTTTTACTAATAATTCATAAGACATATGAATTCTAAGCGATAATAAGGGTATTATGAAGCACTATTTATATTCATTTGCTGTTTCTTTTAGAGTCTTTTTTAATTTATTCAGTGTGTGTGTGTGTGTGTGTGTGTGTGTGTGTGTGTGTGTGTGTGT